GCAAGACTCGACTACTCTAAAGTATATGCACCTGTAGCAAGATTGAAGATTGTTCGACTAGTGGTATCCTTGGCATGCAAGCAAGGCAAGCCAATATTTCACTTAGATGTGAAATTAACATTTTGAATGGTCCTTTAGATCAAGAGGTGTATGTTACACAACCTCTTAGGTTTTTGATTTAGTAGGAAGCAAGGATAGTATACAAGTTTCACAAAGCGCTTTATGGCCTCAATCAGACACCTAGGGCACGAAACAAGAAGATCAACTCATACTTAGTCGAATTGGGATTTGTAAAATGCAAGTCTGAGTATGGTGTCTATGTTCAGTTTGTGGCACAATATATAACAATCATATGATTACATTTCGATGACTTGCTGGTAATTGAAAATAGCTTGGAGAACTTATCGAATTTCAAAGAGCTGATGATGGTTGATGAGGGAATTTGAAATGTCAAATTTGGGAAACTTATCTTATTTCCTAGGCATGGAATTTCAAATTTTGAAGCAATGTATGGTGCTACATCAAATAAAGTATGTTAAAGAGATACTCAAGATATCCAGAATGGATGAGTCGAATCCCGCTTCCTCACATGTTGAACCAAACTTGAAACTAGAGAAACATGGATAGGAGGACAAGGTTGATGTTGCTTTGCTCAACTAAATTATGGAATCTCTGAGATAATTTATGTGCAATAGTCGACCAAATATAGGTTTCATAGTTGGATTAGTGAACAAATACATGAGTGAATCAAGGGTGTCACACATGAAGGTTGAAAGAAGAATCATGAGATACTTAAAAGGATCGCTAAACTGTATAGTTCTATTTCGACGAGATTTTGAAAGCAAAGAAGCTACGGTTACTTGCTATTCAAATGTTGATTGGTGTGGAGATAAGGAAGATAAAAAAACACAATTGGTTATTTCTTTAAAGTCTTTGGTGCCCTAATCTCACGGTGCTTGAGAAAGCAACCTGTAGTGACATTGTCATCGTGTGAGGATGAATATATAGCAGGGTCATATGCTACGTATAAAGAAATTTGGATCAGACTTATGCTAGAAGAGATCGAGGGTCGAAGTGAAGAGACCTCTAGTTCTATAGATTAACAACAAGTCAGCCATTAATCTTTCAAAGAATCTAAGTCTGGATGAAAGAAGTAAGAACATTGAAGCTAGATTTCACTTCTTCAGGGTGTAGATAAATCGAGGTGAACTTGAAGTAAGACATTGCTCAAGTGAAGCATAGTTGGTTGAAATTTTCACCAAATGATTGAAGATCGATAGATTCTTGAATTTGAGGAAGAAATTAGGAATAGTTCATATCGACTATGATTAGCGTATGTTCGACAACTTGGATTAGTGGGGGTATGTTGTGATATAATCCAAGTTAAGTAATCCAAGCCCAAGTCCAAGTTAATTAGCGTTTGTTTGTCAATTACAAGTTAGTTGTAGATAAGTAGACATATTGTAAATCCGTTTTTATTCATTCAATAATATTAACCCTTATTTCATTATTCTTTCCTCTCTCTCTCTCTTCTCTCTCTCTCTCTCTCTCTCTCTCTCTCTCTCTCTCCCTTCTCTCTGTCTCTGTCTCTCTGTCTCTCTGTCTCTCTCTCTCTCTCTCTCTCTCTCCTCTCTCTCTCTCTCTCTCTCTCTCTCTCTCTCTCTCTCTCTCTCTCTCTCTCTCTCTCTCTCTCTCTCTCTCTCTCTCTCTCTCTCTCTCTCTCTCTCCTCTCTCTCTCTCTCTCTCTCTCCATACTAAGGGTGCGTTTGATTTGCAAAATAAAAAGTATTGGACAGAATACTAGACAGTACAGAACAATATAAGATAATTTTTTATATTGTACTGTGTTTGATGATTAATGCATTGGACAATTTTTTCTCTCGATTTTGCTAAATATATCTATGCACTAGACAAAATAATATAATTTTTACTCTAATATTATTTATTGATATAAAAAATATAATATTTATGAATCAAAATATTAAATAATAAGAAAGAAAAAGATGAAAAAAATAATTTTTTACTCTATTTTGTTTAATATGTTTATGCAGGACAAAATAATATAATTTTTATATAATACTTTTTAATTAATATAAAAATATTGATATTTATAATCAAAATATTAAAAAATGAGAAGAGAAGAAAAATGATAAAGTAGAGTTTTTTTCTCTACTTTGTTTGATATATGGATGAACTAAATAAAAATAATATAATTTTTATTATAATATTATGTATTAATATATTAATATTATATTTATGAATTAAAACATTAAATAATGAGAAAGAGAGTAAAAATTGAATTTTTTTTAACAATAATCATGTTTTGAAAAAAAAAATACAATAACCATGTTTCGGAGAAATTTACGCAAAGAACTATATTTCAGAAAATGTTATAATGCAGGAGCTATCTCACATGGCGCATGCATTAATTTTTTTAAAGCAGGCGCCAAGTGAAATGGCACTTCCTAATTTTTTCTATTTACCTGCGGATTTTCCTGTGGATTTGACATTTCTTGTATATTACTTACGGATTTACCTGCGAATAACTTTCCGCAGATAATTTTGTAGGAAAATCTACAGGTAAGTCCGCAGGTAATATCAAATCTACTGAAAAACTCATTGGTAAATTTGAAAAATATAGGCGCCGATTCAAGTGGCGCCGATATCAAATTCACTTTTTTTGGAAACATGGTTAGATTGAGAATTATTATGGAAGATTGGTTAATTTAGTATTAAAATTTCAAAATTTGGTTATTTTAAAAAAAATCATAAAAAGTAGTATCATACTTGATTTTTTTTTGATAACGTGTGCTTGGGACAAAAAGTTGTCCCATGATTTAGTGGTGACAAGAAATTCATAGTTTTGTCCAATTCCTTGCCATATTTTTTATCTAGTACCATGATTAGTTTCTGCATCAAACAAGATGCAAAAAAATTATCATATTCAATATCTCTTTTAGCAAACAAGAATTGATCGTTTTAGCTAAACATCGAAACAATAAACTCAGTAATTTGATTTTGGTTTCCGTAAACAATAATTTTTATCACTTCAATATTGTTGTACATTTGCCTCACTTTTTCAAATATTTATTTATTTATTATTTATTGCATTACATTCCACAAATTATTTTAATTAATTAATAAAATATTATTTTGATGTATTCCTCCTTAAAGTTTTAGATTTGAATCGTGTTAGATACAAATTGTTTATTAAAAAAAATATTATTTCTTTTATAATTATTTCTTTTCATTTTATTAGCTTTTTTTAAAAAAAAATGTATAATTATCTCACTAGCGGTTTTTCTTTTTTATTGGCTATTTTTTCTTTAAAAAGTGTTTATTACTTATTATTCTCTTTTTTTCACAAAGGTTTTTCTTTTACTGGTCTTTTTATTTTTTTTCTTCTTTTATTTATTTTTAAACTGGTGCTATGATTCATTCAACATTTTAAAGAATCATTCACCATTCAGTAGATTTAGTCAAATCTTAAAAAAACAAATTTAATCAACATCACGTTAAAAACCTACAAATAAAGAAAGTCAATTTTTTCATTTTTAATGTTGGCCATTTTATTTTAAAAGTAATTATTAAGAACTTAATAAATTGATAAATAAATAAATGATAATGATATAATAAGAGTAATGGAGTATTGCAATTTTACAAACATCACACCATTATTTTATTCTCTTTCCTCGTTCATTTTACATATCTTTATAATTTTTATTCATATATTTATTAATTATTTATTATTATATTCTGCTAACAATTTAAATTAATTTTAATACAATATTATTTTTTTATAATATTTTTTTTCATTTTTTAACGTTACAATAATCCAAAAAAACTTAGAATATTGTCTTTTTAAAGCAGAAACCTTCACTACTATTATGTTGATTCTTCTAAATGAAAAGGTATATTGATTTCATTTTCATGAAATTCTAATTTGTTTATTATGTTTTATATTATAAAAAACTTTTATTTATTTATTTTAGTTGTCAAATATATAAGTTTCTATGAAAAGTTATTTATAGAAACTTTCTTAGACCTATATTACAGAGTTAGAGGAGTGGGTCAAGAAAGTCCATGCTAAGAAAAAGTGGAAACCTAATGTTACTTCAGCTAGCCCCATAACTCTTATAGCATGTAGAGGTTCCTCAAGTGAAGGACGATATTGTAATAGTGAGGTATCAAGGAAATAGAGCAAAGGTAAGAATCAAGGGCTTAGGAAAATTGACCAATGTTAGTCAAGATGAGGTGTTATTGAGAAAAGGCTCAACTACCAAGGTTTATTTGCTAAAAGGAGTGGCACTTAACTCTTGTGGAATAACTAAGTGCTCAAAGATATCTTAAGTGACATATTAGAAACTGAGTTCCCAACTCAGTGGAAGGATGAGTAAGCTGTCATCGGTAACAATGAAGAAACTATAATGATTAAATCAGTGAAAGATGCTAAAAAAATGCCCTAGACATAATTTTCATCATACAGAAAATGGTGGATAGCAAAGAGATACTCATAATTAAAGTTTCCTTCTATTATGATGAATGTATGATGAAGAGGAAATGTTTGTGTCAGAAGAGGATAGACCTTGAAAGGAAGTTGTCAAAAGAAGTTTTGACATTTGAAGAAGTTGTTCAGTTGTTGGAGAAAGTTTGTATGACAAACAAGAAGAACCTTAGGATAAGTTACACTTGTGATGATGATAGTGTAGGTGATAGGAAGAGTACATTTGATGAATGTTTCCTTCTTGTCAACAACATAATATCTTGGAACAACAAGGAGAAAATTAATGTGACCTTATCTTCTTTTGAAGTTGAATACATTACTGCAGGGTGTAGTGGTTCACAATTACTCTGGATGAAACAAATGTTGAAGGAGTATAATGTGAAACGAGATGTCATGATATTGGTCTAGGACATTTCACTAAAGTTTTAGATGTAAATTATTTGAAGAACTAAGGTGTGCCCTTGGTATTTTTATTTGTAAGGGTCTATAGCAATAAATGCTAGGGAGTTATGCCAAAAGAGAAAAACCATTTCTCTCCTCTAAGACAACTTTGGCACGAAAAATAAGGCGGACTCTTTTGTCATCTCAAGAGTGGTATAACTGGATTGTCGTTACAAGGAAGAAAAACAAACATCTTTCCTTATCATGCTCTCAGATTACAAATCTCTCTCTGATCCTTCAAGCTCATCATCACAACATGAATCAATTTCCCAATGATTTGTCTAAACAATCTAGTGGGAGCTTACTAGTCAAAGAAATTGAGGTTCCTAAGCATGTTGGAGATATGTTGAAGTCTTGGTTAAATAAGGCCAAAAAAGCTAGAGATGTTAGGAATAACATCACCATTGTTGAACCTTATGGTGGAACATCTGACACTAAGAATATAATGATCACAAATTTGAACCCTTAGAAGATAAGAAAGATAGAAGCGACTATTGAAGAGCTAATGGAAACAAGTGATTTGAGATAGATGGAGTCTGGGATAACTTCATAGATTCAATTAGGCATGAAGACTGAAGGCTTCTTTGGGGAAAAAAGCTTTTGATCCAGAAGATTGAAGGTTTATTTTTTCGGTTCAATTTGGAGGCCTTTGTATTTTGGGCATGTTTTTTTAATATTTAAAGCCATCATAGCCTCTTAAGACTATGTACAATAACTAATCTAATGCTTCACTACGCCAAAAAAGACCTTAGGCAACACTTGTTTTTTGGATTAGGCAGCGCTTTAAAGTGCTGCCTATACTACCCCTGCCTAAGGTAAAGCCAACACTTTCTTTTAATATAAAAGTGATGCTATATGTCTCTTTTAGGCATCACTTCATTTCAAAAGCGCTCTTTAATGGCCCATTTAGGCAACGCTTTTTACTTAAAAAACCCTTTCTATTGCCCCCTTTAGACAACGCTTTTTTAGTTCTATTTTAGGTCCTCTTTAGGTGGCGCTTCTTTCCAAAAACGCTATCTATTTACCCCTTTAGACAGCGCTTAACGCTTTCTATAGTCCCCCTTTAGACAACGCTTTCTAATGTCCCTATTAGACAGCGTTTCTTGCGCACAAATTTTTTTATAAAAGCGCTGTCTATTCTCCACTTTTGGCAGCACTATTTATTAAAAGCGCTGTCTTGTGCACAGATTTTTTAATAAATTGACAGCATATTTTTTAATAAAATAGTAGCATTTTTTAAATAAAATGACAGCATATATAAATAGCATATTGTATATTACAAATACATATACGAATATACATATACCAACTCTAGGTAAAAAATAAAGAACTTGTCTTCTGCACATATCTACAATTTTTAGTAACTTGTTATCTCTATCTTCTGCACCTATCTGAAATAAAACCAATAAATTAAAAGGCATCAGAAACATAAAAATTATAACAATTATAACCATAAACATAAATATTATAACCTTATAATTCAACACATAAACATAAACATAACAATTATAACCATAAACATAAACAATTAGAAACATAAAAATATAACCTTATAACCATTATAATTCAACACATAAACATTATAACAATTATAATTCAATACATAAACTATAACCATTATAATTCAACACAATCTCATACACCAAGAAAATCATATTTGTATCAAAACTTATAAATGCTATATACCATTACAAACTCTATCAACCCTTAATTCATAACAACTTCGAGAACTATTCCAATTCAATATAGAACATCACAACAACATAAATCTCTAAGGACCATAAACTTCACACAAATGAAAGAAAGACAATACCTTATAAAATTCTCAACTCAAGAATGTATTGACACCAATTCTCCTTAATTTCTTTCAGTTGACCTTTCGAGTAATTAGCACACTTGAATTCATTAAAGTACTACATAATATAACATAATATGATTTAGTTACCACTAATTAATTAGATAAAATATCTATTACATATTAAAATAAAGCCTAACTTATAAATCCATACCATGTTTGGAATCTCTATTTGATCCAAAAGAATAATTTCTTTCATAAACCTCAATACGAAATAACCACAATCTATACCATTACGCTGACGAGGATACTACACATAGAAAAAAATACGAATATATATAAGGATATATAGTTTAACTAGTTTTATCAAATAACATCAATATTATAATCAAAGTTGTGAAAATATACCTACACTTTGATTCATGTAATGTTATTTGCTTTACTTTTTGGTAGTTGAGTTTGTCTTTGTGATGAGAATATTTGTATAGCTCTAACAAAATATAAATGAATGTTTAGAATAATATCACATAAATAAATAAATACACACACGAATATTTAGAACAATCTTAGTTACATATCAACCATCATCTTCATATCTGAGTATTTTGTTTGATCACCACGAATCCAGATAATATACTATTTCTCTTATAGGATTAATCACGACCAACAACCAGTGTCCACTGTAAAATTAAATAAAAGTCAGATGAAAATTTTCTACACATCATTAAAATACGAAAAAATTATAATAAATGAAGTTAGAATGAAAATCTAACCGATCGTCAGTATTATACGGTAAAAGAAACAACTTTTCTGTATCTTTGTTAACCATAAATGCACCGACTACGTACTCTTTGACTGTATTTGAATTATGTTCGATTTCCCGTATGTTGATACGGTGGGGAGATAAGAAAGAGAATCTTTCTGCCAATTGATGCGAACACATTAATTTTTCATACAAGAACCTTAAATAAAAATATAATTAACATTAGACTATTCATTGAAATGAGTAAATAAATTGTTCAATTAATTAAATAAACTTGATCGGAGCACCTGATGTATGTATTGATAACACCCATGTCTAATTGATCATGATAAAAAATCTGATCCATCTCCTCTGTAGCAATTATTTCAGAATATTCAAAACCAAAAATACCTTCCTCCATAGATATATCACGAGCAACATCATCCATTAAATCTGTTGTTCTTATAAATGTTTGAAGACACTATCTAAATCCTGACATAGATATTTTTTTAGGCTCGGACTTTGTTAGATCTTTTTTTCTTTTGGACATGTTGCTAACAATAGATTTCTTATTCTTACTTACTTGTTGCAACTCTTCAACATAAATCTAAATATCATATAATTAGTTAAGAAATATATAAGATCAAAAAGCTTTTGATTTTGGAGGACACAATTCCCATTCCAAAAACTACAATAAAAAAGGCATCTATATACTACATTGTTCATATTAGAGATAATCCTAACTATCATGTATACACACAGATGGCATCCAAATAGACAAGCATACTATAACATTCAAATTCAACATCCTTGATTGGGGCATTGACATATTGACACAATTATGCTTCCGAAGAAATTGGTGTTAGTGCAGTCAAACACATACTTAATTAACTTCAGTCTTGAGCCTTAAGCGTATTTAATTAGTGTATAATCATCTTTCATCTTTCAACTAGTGGATTATTAAACCTTCATTTAAAAGTTTGGAATCAAAGCTAGGCTTCTGTATAATAGTAGAAGCTCACTCCAACTATTGGCAATTTATTGAAATGAAAGTCATACAAAACATTTGTGAATAACATGTAATGAAAAAAATGGACTGTAGCAATATTATATTAACTAATCAACCAATCTACATAAAGATTATAAGATTATATTTTCACATCAGTATAAAGATTCTTATGAATTTTAATATTGTTGTAACTTCTATTAGTCAATTTTGAATTCAAATCAGCAATTGAACTAAAAGAGATCATCATCATCCCAACTAAATATTCTATATTTGAAATTTGACTTGTTCTTTATGATTAATTTCAATTCTTTCTATAGTGTTGAATTAATAAATTAAAAATGACATAAACTGAATATTGTTTTTCTTTTGGAAATATAATCTTAATTGTTTTATATTGATTTCTATTCTAAATATTAATGGATTTTATAGTCTAAAATTGTGAATTGAACCAATACAAAACGTGGATCTTATAGTCTAAAGTTGTACTTGACTGTTTATAAAAGCATCACTTGCATTCATCAAATTTATGAGAGGTGTTGTTGTTACAATTATAGTATAGTAAAATACATTGATAAAATACATCTTACCTCATTTTAAACTATGATAGCATCGTGATTCATTGATAAAATAATAGAATGGTACAGTCAAGTACAACTTGCTCTTAAGTTGCAATACATGTAGTAGGCTATTTATAAAACATGTGGGGTGTGTTTGAAATTATTAACTTTTAATACATCTAAGAAGCATTTTATCAAACACGTTGGATGTGTTTAAAAATGTGTGAGGGAGCATGAATAAGAAACACCAACAATAACTTGACTTTAATTTGAATTACAAGATAACATAAGGCCATTTTAATTTATATAGACAGAAAAAAATTAATATTATTAAGTTTAATAAATGAGGAAAAATAAGAATACCTGGATTCGAGTCGCTCTGAGAATTTCAGTGAAGCTATCGTCGATTGTGTTAAAGTTGAGAGCGAAACGAAAGCCAGAATCAGAGAGGAATGACAATGCAGCTTCGATGTTGACCGGAGAAAAAAGTAACGAGAATCTGTGGCGGAATTGAGCGAGCAGATTCAGGGTTAATTGAAAATAGAAAAAGCCGAATCCGCTCTTAATGGACGTTCGACGAAATCAAGATAAGGGGATGGCTTACCTCAAACGCGTTTCGTTTCAGTCCCGAGATGTCACTGTGCAGAAGCGATTTGTGAAGGAGTGAGCTATGAACGGAGGCAGATGCAGTAGCTTACGTGGGCGACATATACTATGCGATGGTTAGCCGTACGACTTGACCACGCCGATAGAAGTTCCAACAAAGAAGAGATGAACGAGAGAAAAAGCGATGGTAACGTTCTTGTTTGAAATTCAGTTTTGAATTTTTATAGTTTTTAGGATTTAAGCTCTCAAAAGATTGAGTGAGTGAAAGAGATGAACGAGAGAAAAAGTGTTGCTAACAAGGGGGAGACGAAGAAGAGAATTTATTTCAGAAGTTTTGGTATATTTTAGGAATTTAGTTTTTAGAAATTAAGGACATAAGGCAACGCTTATTGCCTTTAGGCAGTACTTTCTAAATAATTTGACTTTTAGCAGCACTTTCATAAAAATGGCCTTTAGCAGCGTTTTTCAGAAGCGTTTTCTAAAGTTAGTCTTTAGCAGCGCTTTTTCTAAAAATAATTTTTTATTTTTTAAATTTATAGCAGCGCTTTGGGAAAAAAGTGCTGCCTATACAGTGCTGTCTAAAAAGTCCTATAGCATCGCTTTTATGAAACGCTTTTTAAAGTAAGCCTTTAACCGCGCTTTTTCTCAAGTTAACTTTTCTTTGAACTTATAGCAGCACTTTGGAAAAAAAGAGCTGCCTATACAGTGCTGTCTAAAAAGGCCTATAGCAACACTTTTATGAAGCGTTTCTAAAGTAAGT